CGAAAATGGACGATCTATAGCGCTTTACTTACTGCTTGGTTGGAAATGCAGAGATTCCAAACTCCGAGCTTTTCTTGTGGTTTACATAATGATCTTATCTTCAGGTAAGTAGATAAGATACGACCCTGGTCCGGCGACGGGACTGCGCCAGTATAAACACTCCTCCTCAGTACGCACGCTGGACCAAGTTATTTCATCGCTGAACTCAACTTCTTGGATTCTGCGAGCCCCGCGCAACCAAAACTGGCGGAGTAAAAAAAAATTACCGATATATTTTCCCTTATTTTCCCATCACCTTGCGGCTGCCGACTTTCAATTACCAATTGTGAGCTGGATCTACTTCCCATCCTCATCCTGCCAATTTTCAGCACTTAAAACTATAGCAGTCTTGAGATGGCTCCACATTTAAATGTAGGAACTGTGGTCCACCAGGGATGTGAGTACTAGTAGTAGAGCTCCTGTGACTCAATATCCCAAGTTAAAACGCCTGATGATCCTCCCGTCTCAGTTAGCTCAGACGACGCAAATATCATCTTCAGATCTTCGGATGACGTTCACTTCAAAATTCATTCACTCAACCTAAGAGCGAACACGGAGGGATTCGTTCCACCCGAAACCTCGACTTTCGACGAAATAGTTGACCTGACGGAAACGTCGGAGACGCTGGGGATCCTTTTCCAGTTCATATACCCAGCCCGGCATCCCGAACTTGAGGACTTAGCTTTTCATGTACTTGCTGCCGTCGCAGAAGCCGCTGAGAAATATCAAGTCTTTCCCGCGTTGGGCATTTGCAAAGTGCGCATGAAGTGAGTCTGTCCTAACGATAGCTTTAATGATGAAATTAACTTTTCGCATCGTACCAGGAGCAACCTTCGCAAACACGCAACAGATGTCATGGCATACGCTCTGAAGCATCACCACATCGATATCATAGACCTTGCAGCGCCGTATCTAATGGTTCTCCCTCTTGACCGATCGGTCGCCTACTTCCCAGACCGTCATGTTCTTTCATGGGTAATACTCGCCTCATCATTCTATCTTCACCTCTTTTTATCTGACATGCACATGAAATCCTACCCTAGATTCGCTACCACGAGTGTTGGCGAAAAGTCGTACAAAGAGCGGCCCAGTTCTACTCCACAAAGTCGTCATACTCCTTAGTGGACAGCCAGAAAAGAGAAGTCATATGCGGCGGACACAAGAGCTGTAATAACAGGATCGAACAAACGATTGTCGACATCATCGCCGATTTGGCTGCAAATCCTTATTTACTTTGTGACTTGGATTCGATCTTCCCTGGGACCCTTCTAATTTGTGAATCTGGATCGCGGTGTGTAAGGCATTTTCAAGCTTGGAAGAGGTCAATACGCAAGGATTTCTCAGAGATACCGAAATTCTCCACCTTCCTGTAGCTTTTACTGTCTTTAAAGTACCTGCCTATATCATGTAGACATACGTATATCTCGATTCGCGTTCTTTCGATAAAGTCGTGTCACTGGTTATAATATTCTCAATAATACTGGAAGCCTACTTGGCAAGATATTTGCTAGAGGGGTATAAATTGAATATCCTCCCCTCATATCCATTCATATTAGATCGGAAACAGGTTCACCGAAAGTCGCATTGGGGACATGGGAAGCAAGCAATCGTACGAATTGAATCTATACGATGGATGCCCTGCAACGCCCCGAGTGAAGCTGCCTACGTCATCAAGGAAATACAGGACGTACCCACCAGACGTAGGCTTCAATCCCGTCCTTGAAACGCAGATTCAAGCTCCAAGAGTGCTACATCGATGTCGAATCGAGAACCACTGATAACCTTCAGCTGTCCCGTCGCACGCAACATCGGCAGCGCCATGCCCACGACATCATGAGGCTTGGATGGATGTGTGAGCTGCGCCCAGTACACGCCGCGGAAGTAAGGGTATCGTTTCCTGTCTCTCGTCGTTGCCGCAAACACCGCATCGATCTTTTCAACCGATTCACTTCCTAGTGTCATGAGGTTGAGAGTCGTCACGATGACCAGCAGCTCAGTGTGACAAGGTAAGCCACCTTCACAAAGCGGTTTCATTAGCTGCGCAAAGAGCGTCGCGATGGAATGGAACTCGAACACGAGGAGGCGGAGATTGCGGGGGAGGGACACCGGAATAGCATTTGTCGTGCCCTGATGTCCGTATTCTTTACTACTTGCATTTGGGACCTGAGAAACGGATTTTACTCACAATCTCATCTTTCCAGCGCAGTGAAGTGATTTTATTATAGCTTGCCTCCATTAGGTGCATAATTTCACGAAGAACATCGTTTCGTGCAGTCATACGCAGCGTTCGAAGCTTTTCTAGATTTCCGTGAAGATATTCCACCAAGAGCTCCCGCTGCGAGCTTTGTAATTCCAGAAGATGGGGAGGAGCTGTGCTACCCCATGAAGGACTCTCATTCAGGCATATAGAATTAAGACTACAGCGACTGAAACTGCATTCCGCTGTGAAAGTGACGTGCCGCAAGGACGGCGACGTCATCACCTTAAGGAGTTCGACCGGGAACGAACATAATGCTATGCCATCTATCGAGATGTTGCGTAAAGGGGTTGACTGAAGAAGAACCTTAATGGAAGTGCTGTGCGGGAACATGAACCGATGCATGGTCGTGCGCAGAGACAGTGCCTCAAGGCTGCCGCAAGTGCCGATATGCCGTGCAACAAGGGGGAAAGTTGGACTAGAATAGACCCAGCCATGATCGACGATAGAGAGGCGCCGCACGAGTCGGATGGTCTCTGGACTAGAAGAAAATACACTGCAGAGTTGATCGCACGAACGTGGTGAGGCCAAGGTGGTCGAGGCGAATATATGGCGGCGACATGAGGCGAGGAAGGAAAGTGACGTAAGGGCGCATTCTCGCAGCGTCTTTAAATCATCCCGGAACTCGTCAGTTATGAGGTTGATGATATCTTGTGGGATGTCCATGGAGGCGCAGTTGGTGACGCGTCGCGTCAAGGTAATGGGGAACAATGAAATTGATCGATGAAGTTGAATCGATACTTAGATCCGAGTATCACGAGGTTCTCACGCGCGCGTCGCGTTCGAGGCGCGATCTCCGTCATCTTAGCATAAAGACGAAACAGTTATCTGACAAAATTATGAATCAAAAAAGGATATGCCACAGTACAACTAAAATAATCAACACTTCCGCTGAGAAGAGGGTGAAATCGTAGATTCTACTGCAGAAACGTCGAGAAGCTCGGGATGCCTGTAACGTCTGCTTCAATCGCCTTCCTCCACTCGGTGCAACGAGACCTGCACAGAAAGCAACCCACTTGGTATATGTCACGCCCCTCGTCGAACACCGCATCAAGTTTCTGCAGAGCGCCGACGTCCGCGCCCAGTGCGGCCATAATCTTCATAACCATTCCATCGAGGCCTTTTTCGCGGCAGTTGCAGGTACACGTGGTGTCGGTGCCAAGACTATGTGAGGTCGGTGAGGTATTATAGAAGCGGTGCGCCCGATGGAGTACTTGAAGCCAGAGGTTATGATATCGGATCTGAATGCAGGTGGTTAACATTAATCAACGCTATATTCACTGAAACGTACCCATGGAGTGAGATATTTTTCTGGAATAGGCCAGTATAAATATTGGAGCGAGCTGGTGATCAAAAGGAGTGCCCCTTTGTCGACGATTGCTTGATCGCGTAAGCCATGACCGCTGGCGTTTCGGTCGAGAGTACATTCCTATGGGAGGCGTCAAGGGGTTAAGCAGAAGCGCTATCGTCTTCCTAGGAGAGAGATTGGGCGTACTTCATACGAATATAGCAAAAATTCATCGCAGCGAACACTTGGTACTTCTCTGCCGCCTCCGCGAGCACCTTCAGCGTTGCGAAATCGGTCTTCTCTAAGCTTGGGTGGCGCGCAGGGTAGATAAACTGGAATATAGTTTCGAGCGTGGCAGAGGACTCTTTGAGCTCGGCGATCGCATCGCCAGACGTGCCTGAGCTGATGTACGCGGAGAAGCCCCCCGTGTTCGTCTTGAGGTTCTGCGAATGTATCTTAAAGAATATTTTATCCGCGGAGCGAAAGGTAATGTCAGCATCGTGGGCGTTGACTAAAGTGTTATTTATGTGTCAAAAAGGCGGCGGAACTGAGGAGGCAGATTCATACAGAGCGCAGATCGAATGCCAGTTCCCGCCATATCCGGATTAGAGGCTGCCTGAGCCTTTGCTGGTAGCTTCACGGCTGGAGAAGGATTGAAAGTTCCTGGCAGGCAAGAGGGAGTAGACGAAAGTGCGGTGGTGGTGGTGTTGGCTTCCATTGGAGGCTCAAGGGCTGCAGCGCGCAGGTCTAAGTCTTTATGGCAGAATAGGTGTCTTCGAGGGTATCAGTCGGATGAAGTCCCGCTTTCAACATGCTGGTTCTTATTCCTCCCTCGACCCTTTGTGGCGCAAGGATATTCGGGACCCAATTCCCAGATGCTGGGACCGGTGATAAAGAAATGAAAGCATCTGTCAGAGTGATCGATGATAATCCTTGGAAGCAAGGAAATGCGATGAAAGAGATAAGGATTTCGAGTCAAGGATTCTGACTCGAACTAGTTCTCACTTTCAATACGTTTCCTTTGTTTTCATAACCCCAATTGAATCTACTTGTAAATCGTGAATGGAAGGCAGTGCTTACCACGAAAAATGCGCCCCGAAGTCCCAAAAACAAGGTGCGCCAAGTGTGCATTTCTTCGAAGCAGGTCTTCATGGCAAGGTTTTATACACTCTAACACGGAGAACTCGAGTCAGAAATGGTGATCGTGGTGGTTGAACTTCGTTGAAGGCGAGTCACTCGAAAACAATCAAGATCAAACAACGCGTTTCGAAATGCAGACCAGTGATCACAAAGTGGGGCGAACCTCCTTGTCTAATAGAATATGCCGGGAATTCAGGTTTGGGTACTCGTTTTAGAGTGCAAACAAAAAAGAAAGAAAAAATCGTACTAAAACTCAAATAAAGGTATGGCTTGTGATGCATTAAGAGAGAATCGAACTCCCGGCGGGTCGACGATCGCAGAGATGCCTCATGGCAACGACCCAGGTTACCACTACCCCATTAATGCTTTGCGGTTCGATTGACACAATATTTATATCCACTAAACGTGAACCGTGTGTATGGGAGCTGCAGACAAACCTCGCAAAAAAGTAAAACTTTGGCTCCTGCACAATATCGCGAGTCATAGTAGATCTCAAACAAATTTTCAATTCTACAGAAAAGTATTGAACGCGGGGACCTGCTTCAGCGCGGCTTCCAAGTGTGGCCACACAAGGGAAGGGCTATAAACCTCCTTTATCGCAGATAGCGAGCGCCTTTCGCCCAACTGTGCCCATAGATTACCGTAGGTGCCGCGTTTAATCGAGAGCTGATCTGTTATGGTAGATCTGTATATTGCCCTGCTCCAGCATTCCCTAAAGCGGATCTGGAGGTACACGAGGGTCAAACAAACTTGACGATGGAAGATGCGACGAGGGACGTACCCAGGGGATGACAAGGCCAGGAGAGAGGGTCAACACTACCAAGTCGAGAGGTATATCCAGCAGGCCCTGCTCGGCGTCCACCATAATATCCTTGTAGTCGTGCCGCGACGCGTAGTTGAATAGTTCTATAGCATGATCGGGTAGAAAGTTCCTGGAAAGGAAAATTCGCGTTCAACATTCGACCGGCCAGTATCATGGACATGTTACACGTACTTCATCCGGACGCTGCATATATTCATCGCCGAGTAGACCTCGTACTTCTCCGCTGCCTCCGCCAGCAACGACAGCTCCTCAAATGGTGTATTATCCAGACGTGGGTGGCGCTGGGGGTAGACAAACTGGAAGAGGAGCTCCAAGGTCAGGGCGTTTTCGGTGAGGGGCACGAGCTCCCCGTGAGTGTTGAATTCAGCCGTTGGGAATGCACTCGTGTGTGTTTCGAGATTCTTCCGGTGTAGATGGAAGATAACGTTGTCGGCAGAGATGAATTGAACGTCAGCGTCGCTAGCATTGACTAGATGCATTTCAGGTCTTCTTTTCCACCTATGGTGATAAACCTGTACTCACATCGGGCAGACGATCGAGATGCTTTTGCTGGATTTCCGAGTTCGAGTCCTGACATGGTGGCTGATTGAGAATGAGAGGGTTGAGGAGGATTCCATGGCAATATTTATCATAGTGAGAACAATGGCAGACAGGCGTATTGGTACCGCGGTCGAAATGACAGGTCAGTGAGAAAAAGTACAAGGATCGCGGCTTAAAACAAGAACATTCGGAGTAACGAACGGTTGACTGAAGTACAAGGGACAAAGAGCAACCAACGAGTTTACATAAGTCCCGCCGCACTGCCACCTTTGAGTCCGAGTCACCTGGGTCCTTCTGTCACTTGATATGAGTCATAAGTGTCCAGACAAGATAGTAGGCGACATTTTTCCATTGGCTTATTTATTGATGAAATATTGTATAGAACTCACTAGTACATATGTAGTCGTTCAATACCCATGACTAAATCTATGAACCATTACTTTCACTAGTACTACGAGTTTTTCTGGACCTTGTCACGAGGATGGGGAAACAAGGTGGCCTTTACAGATATCCTGGCTCTCTTAACATCCACCACCATCTAGCTCCGAAGAAAGTGACGCGGAACTGAAGAACCAACATGGACCCCCAGACCCAGACCCAGCCCTCGCAGCCAGCCCGAGGATAAAGGTTCCGAAAAATGTGAGTGAAAATCCATCCCCATCGATGAAGCTGATGTGAAGGTAACCCAAAAAATCCAGTCAACGCGAGCGATGCAGATGTGAGGTTCGTCTCTGCAGATAATGTTACATTTCACATCCACCGCAAGAATCTCGAAACCCAAACTGGAGGGTTCCCGCCAGGCGAATTTGTGACCCTCGGAGAGCTCGTGCTGCTCGCCGAAGACGCCGCGACCTGCCCAAATGACCAGTTTTGAGAGACCCTAATCTATGGGAAACCTCAGTTTCATGGGTGTTCATAGTGCGATCTGGAGTCCAGGCTTCACATGGATGACCTATTACACTAGTATGTTGCAGGAATCTGGCGGCGCTCCTAGTGTCCATTTCTAGGACCTACTCACTCGCTCTGATTCAACTTGCTCTAGATGAGCACTGAAAATGTAGACAATACTACAAAAAAGTATCGAATTTGGGCGATTGCGTCACTGCCGCTTGAATTGACGCCCACCCTGTTAACGTGCCATAAACTTCCTGTAGCGCAGAGAGAGAGCGCCTATCGCCCAAATTCAACCACGAACTGGACCTTGTATTAGCTCCTCTTCCACAATTATAACATCGTGTGCCATTATAACCACAGCAGCTGGAGGTGACCGGTTCAATGGATCGTATGTTGCTTTGTGCCGCCCTGCTCCAGCTCTCCCGAAATCGGACCTGGAAATTGATTCTATAAATCTAAAATACCAAAGTATATGTTTATTGAATTGCACATACCCAGGGGATAACAAACCCGGGGGAAAGCGTCAGCACGATCTCGTCAAGAGGAATATCGAGGAGGCTGGGTGCAGCTTCTGCCATGATTTCCCTATAATCGTGGCGCGAGGCGTAGTTGAATATTTCTACGGCATGTTCGGGCAAGAAGTTCCTAGGACACACTTAAATCAACAGACTGACTACATATCATTAGGGCAGATTCAACTCACTTCATGCGGATACGGCATACATTCACAGCAGAGTAGATCTCATACTTCTCTGCCGCCTCTGCGAGTGGGGATAACTCTTCAAACGGCGTGGTATCAAGGTGTGGGTGGCGCTTCGGATACAAAAATCGGAAGAGTAGCTCAAGCGTCGCGGCGTTTTCGGTGAGTGGTACGATCTCCCCGCGTGTGTCGAACTCGGCTGGAGGGAAGGCGCCGGCTTGGGACTCTAGGTTCTTTCGGTGGATATGAAACAAGACGTTATCGGCAGAGAGGAACTTCACGTCTGCATCGCTCGCGTTGACTGGATGTTGCATGGGGTCAGCGATTCCATCGATAACGATGGATTTGCGCTCACATTTGGCGGAGGACTCTGGGGGAGGCAAAGGTGGTGGTGGGGTTTTACCAGTCAGTGCGGTATCGGACATTTTGATTGAATTCGTCGGGAGACTGCGTTACAAGAGTGCGGTGCAGTGAGATGCAGATGGTTATGTAGATACTGCACGTTGCACTCGCTTGATGGATCCTTCATCCTCGTGTCAAACGGGCGTTTAAATTTTTTCTCACAATCAAGTTGAAGTAGGCTGTTCGAGTCGTCTAAAATCCGACGCAATCTTTGACGGTGAGCAATAAGAAGTACTCAAATGAGATGTATAGATGAGAATCGAGTCACTGGTGCACGATGAATTTTTTTTCCTTTCGTTCCCACCTGAAGAATGATCAAAGACATATGATCTAGGCATGCAGACACTCCACCTGCCACGGGGATGGGGACGTAAGGTGGCCATTGCCAACAGCCTCTTATAAGCGACACCCCCTTCTCATCTATCCTCTTCTCTCACGTTAAATTGGAGCAATACTAGTATTCAGGCCACCAGTATTATGTCACAAAACAAATCAAAGAAAGGCTTGAAATGTCAAGTACCAGGACCGTTACCGCAGACATCTGAAAAATGTAAGCCTAATTTCGTGCCATCGTTGTAGATGATATTGAGCACCAAATCCCCCGATACCCAGTTAACGCAATTGATGCGGATGTCAAGTTCCTTTCAGCAGACCTTGTTCTCTTCCATATTCACCGCAGGAATCTCGAATTCCACTCTGGCGCGTTCCCACCAGCTGAGATCTCCACGCAGGGGGAGATTGTGCCACTTACTGAGAATGCAGCAACACTGGAGCTGCTCTTCCAGTTTGTTTATGCTCAGCGCTACCCACGTCTCAATGACATCCCCTTCGGAGAACTATCGCTACTGGCTGAGGCTGCAGAAAAGTACGAAGTCTATGCTGCAATTAACATATGCAGTGTCCGCATGCAGTAGGTCACAAATATGCTCCCCTGATCTTCTCGCAACCGATAATGCATTGTAGGAACTCCTTGCCTGAACATGCATTGCAGATCATGAATTACGCATCGCGGCATGGCTATAGTGACATCATGGCACAGGCTGCGCCCCACCTTCTCGATATACCTCTTGATACAATCGTGCTGACCCTTTCTCCGAACCTGATTATTCCATGGGTAGGTTTAATCTGGCCTAACTTGAAGATCAATCCTGAATGGTCATATTTCAACTTACAGGTCCGATTTCGTGAGGCCTGGTCCAGGTCAGCTCAAAATTGTATAATATGCGAGACCAAGGCATGCCCGTTTCCAGATCGTTGTGGCAAATTTTGTCAAAGGCCATGTCTAGGTGATAATAGTATGAGCTTCTCATGGCTAGCATTGGGTGATAAGCGATCTCGAAATGCGCTGATGGAAGTATATGGATCCAAGGATATATGGGCAGTAATGGATGCGGCCCTCGATCAAGTCCCCGAGTTCGATACATTTTTGTAGGTTGAAAAATATGATCAGTCATCTTGTATACATCTGTTTCAGATAACTGGAGGGAGGAAGTCCATCCGCCAGCCTGGGTATGACTTGAGGCAGGTAATTTTTGTTGAATTTACTAAGCCCCATTTACTTTCAAAAACAAGATATAAAAGGCGCCACTATTAGAGTCCATTTTGTGGATCTGGATCATGAGTGCTGCCCACGACAGAATCGCGAGTAAGTCCATGTTCAGAACCTCACGCCCCGAAAAATTTAGTACAAGAAGGTATCAAATTTGGGGACTTGCATCACAGCTTCTCGCACACACCCCCAAACGGATTGACGACCATAAACCTCCTCAAGAGCAGCCAGAGAACACCTGTCTCTTAACTGTGGCAAAAAGGATCCTTGGACATGGCATATACATTTTTGAGTATCGCGTAGGGAAGCCTTGTATGCTGCCCTGCACCATCTCTCCCTGAATCGGACCTGGTGGTTGAAGTCGTGATGGGAAATAGTGTATGATCATAAGATCTCACGTACCCATGGAACGACAAGCTCAGGAGCAAGGTGCAGCACGATCTCATCAAGAGGGATAT